AGGACCTAGGATCCTAACCGTGGTGTTCTTTTCTCTGCAATACAGGCCCCCCTAGGGGAAGGTGAGCCGAGGCAAAAATGGAGGGTGGATAGGGAAGGTTGAGCTCTGGGATGGGCACTGCCTGAGTTCCTTCCGGTGCTGCTGCCCACTGCAGCCTCTTCTGAGATGTGAGAAGTCCTCTCCCACCCCTTCAAATGTGCACAGAAGCCCTGGCCCCAGGCCTGGTGATCAAGCTCTCTGGGAATAAACAAGGCTTTTCCTCCCTCCCCCAGAACACCCAATCTCTCCTTTCCATGCCAACCCCACCCTGGGGAGCCATGCGTCATCACACTGGGGCCGGGTGACCTGCACAGGAATTCATCCATAAATGCACAGACAATAGCTGAGGAAGTGTGGGCCTTTGATGTGGTTCAAGGGATGCCATGTGAGGGATCTGAGCAAAGGCAGCCTCCATGCAAGGGCATATGACCACTTCTACCCTTATGTGTGGCTTCACGAGTGTCCAGAGCCTTCTCTCATCTCTTGTCTCAGTCAGTTTTCTCCAAAGGCTCGGTGTGGTAGACAAAGCCATGATTATGATTTCTATTTCAAGATACAGAAACAAGCTTGGCAAGATTCAAGTGGCTCAGTGGTGGTATGTGAGAATCAGATCTGACCTGTGAGTGAGGGTGCTTGGAATCCTAGCCATCTCTGCTCCAGAACCGTGTGAACTTTGCCCCCAAACTGTGACCTTTGCCCCCAGAACTGTGTGATGTCTGTCCAGCAGGGACTTTGCCCTGCAGGGTCTTAGCTTCCTCATTTATAAAAGAGGGCTATTGCTTCTTTTGAGACACAGTTAGGGTCCAAAGAGATAGCTTTTTTTTGACAGTACTTTGTGAATCTTTAAAAAAAAAACGCAGCTTTCTGGCCCCACTATTCGAATGATCTACTGAATCAGTGAATGAATGAAGACAAAGCTAAGGTATATTTGTGGCTCTTATGAGTTGCAGAAGAAGCTAGGAAATAAAATCATTCTCCGAAAATGTCCTCTGAGGACTGGAGAGCCACAGAACATACCACAGGACCATCTGTTTGGTTCTTTGAGCCATTATGGATAATGTTTAAGTGGTTCAACAACCGCTGTCCATTTGCCAGATTTGTCAGTGGGCATTACAGGGTGACGATGAGGAAAGAGGCAGTTTGGGCAGATTTAAAGATAGCTTATTAGCAGGTTGGGTTTCTGTTTATGTATAATTTAGACAAGGAACTGAAATGTCACTGGGGAAAGGGACAGCACTTTTCTTTCTGTATTTCTATGGTTTGTGTTTTTCCATCAAGAAACTCTCAGGTTGAAAGTATTCAGTTACTAACTTGTCCAGAAATATTATGGCAGAGCTGAGGAGGTACTGCATGGCCTGTAACTGTGGCAGGATTTGGATGAAAAGAACATGTAATAGGTAAAGATGAAACTGATACAGTATGATAGGGTCAGGGTTATTGAACAAATGTTGCATTTTACTGCAGGTTGACTATTTTCTGAGAAAACACCTGTGTTCAAATAAATTACCTGTATCAGAAATCGCTTTTAGCTTCTTAAACTTTTCCCTGTCCATTTTCTTTGGGCTTCGACAAGTCCTTTTTTCTCTTCCAGCCTATGCATCTGAGAGTAACCCTGAACAATGACAAGTAATTTCAGCAGGCCCTGTTAACACTGTTCACAAGGTCTGTGTTTACCTTTCAAAGGAAATTGTTTTTTCCTAACAATTATGCCAAGCACAGAGATTTTGCTTCAATGATCTCAATTTAATATGGAGCATCTTCTATCTTAAAACACTGACAAGCATGATTATATCCAAGAAATATGGAAAAATTTGCAAGTCTATATTGTGACTGTTTTTCACTGAAGAAAACTCTGTGTGTGTGTGTATGTAAAATACACTTAGGGGAGACTTCAGACTTTTCTACTACAGAGAAGTGAATTGTAATTCCACAAAGCTAATTCAAGCAATCACACTGGAAGGTGTTCTATCCGTCCTCCAACTCCAGCTCCCCAAATCACCACTCAGTTCATCCACTTAAGTCTTCTTCATCCGACATGTATGCTTTACTTTCTACATGGCAAAAATATGTGCAACAGCTTATGAAGCCACCTTTTGGGAAAAACAATCGGAGAAACACACAGTCCATGGGATAAAGGAAAGTTTGGTGTTTTCTAACCCCATCTTCTGAATTAACCATGAGGCCTTCTCCTTTCTCCACATGACACTTTGGCTATATAAAGGAAAGCAAGGGAGCTTCTCTCCCTGGAGATGCATAGCTTGTGCCCCTCTCCTTCCTCACTTGATAATCTGATAACAATTTAAAATTTGATATTCTTTGCACTACAATGTATTGGTGTGCTGGGCCACAGGGTCTCCCTGCTATGTGGAATGGACATGGGCAGGAGGTACCACTCTTTCTCACTCTCCCTCAGAGCCCTTGGACTTGGGTATAAAGCTCTCTTGCAGTTCTTCCAGCTGCTGGAACAAGAGGGCGTGGGCACTGGTTTTATAGTATGTGGAAGGAAAAGAGAGATGATAATTCAAGTGTTAGTTTAGGTTCTTACCTTCTCAAGGTGGTACAGAGAGAGTTGGAGTCAAACACTAGGGACTCAGCCCTATAGAAAAAGCTGGGAAAGGGAATTCATACACACAAAGGATTGCACACAAAACAGGAAAGGCCAGTAGTTGCTCTTTGGTGCCTAAATAAGGCTTGGTCTGACAATAGGGTAAAAGTAATGCAAGGGACAGTGCTTTATCCCAGAGCATTAATTACTTTAGGACATCTTACTCCTGCTTATTAAAAAGAGAGTCATTTATTGATTCTTAGGATTCTGATAGAATTTGTACGATTTCTCTGTCTTTAAATCATACAAGTTCTTTAAGTTCCTGGAGATTTTATTAATTGCTATCTATATCAGATACCAAGCATTAAATATCATTCTCCTCAGCTTTCAAGTTAAATCTACGTAACACATCTCACAAGGCCTTTTATGATCAGGCTGCCATTTACCTCCCCGTGACTGACTCTCACTTACTCCTGGATCCTTATGCTCCAAGTCAGACTGAGCTGTGTTTGGTAACTAGACCTCCAAAACCCCTGTAGATCTCTCCCTTGCTTCTACCCCAATAATCTAATCTCCTGGGCTCAGCTTGGATTTTGCTTCTTTTAGGAAAATATTCCAGTCCTCTCTTATTGGGCTAGATTTAGTGAGCTAATTCTGTGTTCCTGGAGCACTCAGAGCTTACACTGAATTCTAAATGACCTATGTATCAGTCAGGCTCTCTGAAAGAAATGAATAACACAATCAAATTAGAATAATTTGAAGAAAGCTTCAAAAAGGGTCTAGTTCACAAAGGTGTATGCAAGATACAGGGAAACCACATAAGATAAACAGTACTATGGGATTAGCAACAGTGAAGGTTGCTATGACCCTTAGGAGGTAAGGGGAGGAAATCGTGATCAGAATCCTAGTAGGAGAGTCACATAGAGCCTGCTTGAAAGGAGCTGTGATCTTCAGCAGAAGGATATAGCCAGTCTGAGGAGAACATACAGGGAGGAGGCTACAGTGATAGGTACTTTGACTTTATGCTCTTCCGTACCTAAGATCTACCAAGTCTCCACATTGGCTGAATCCAACATGATATAGAAGAGCAAGAGAAATGTAGTCTACACTAGTCAACCTTCCAGGACGGAAAGCAGTCTGAGTGTAAGGACAGATCACATACAGGGAAACAATAATACAAACGACAGCTAACTTCTGAGGAGAAATAACGGAGGCCAGAATACAATGGAAGAGATATATTTGTAGTACAAAATAATACCTGTCAATACAGAATTATATGTTCAGTGACACTATGTCTCAAAACTGATGATTAAATACATTTTCAGATCAATGAAGACAGAGAATTTTTCCCAAACAAAACTGCATTACATGAAATGTTAAATGAAGTTCTTCAGATTGAAGAGAAATGACACCAGATGGTGACTCAAGTATACAGGAAGGAATAAAGAGCAGAGGAAATAGTAAATATGTAAATAAATATAAAAGCCTGTATTTATATTTTTCCTCTAACTTTATTTAGAAGACATGACCCTTTAAAGCAAAAATTATAAAAAGTTGCTGAGCTTATAATAATATGGATGTAATATATGTGATAATAACAGCACAAAGAATGGGGGTATAAATGGAGCTATAATGCTGAATGAAAATAAGAAATATAAAATAGCCCCAAACATTTCTAAATTAAATAATGGACTTTTAAATAACCTATGAATCAAAGAGCAAATAATAAAGGAACTTAGAAAATATTGGGGATTGAATTATGATGTAAATACACCATTTGTGGGAAGCAGTTAAAGCAGTGCTTAGAGATAAATTTATAGATTTAATTGCCTATGTAGTAAAGGAAAGACTGAATGTCAATGATCCAAATATCCACATTAAGTAGCTAGAAAAAATGAAAAGCAAAACTAAAAGTAGAAACTATAAGGAGCGGAAATCAGTTGAAAATAAGATAAGCAACAGTTATCATTAACAAAGTGAAATGTTGATTAGTTGATTATTTGAAACAATAAAATGAATAAACCTATTAATAAAAAAGCATAAACATTCTGCTAAAGGAGAAAACACATATTACCAATGTTAAGAATAAGACAGAGACTATTACTAAGACATCAAAAGGGTAATACAGGGATATTGTGGACAATTTTATTGCAATAAATTCAACTTAGATAAAAATCAATTAATTCCTTGAAAAACACAATTTATAAAATTAAAATTACTGGTACTACCAAATGCTAGTGACACATGCAGAGCAATCAAGGCTCTTCTCCATTGTTGATGGCAATGTAACTTGGTATAGCTACTTTGGGAAAAACATTTTGCAGTTTCTTATAAAACTGAACCTATAGTTACTCAGTGACCGAACAATTCTACTCCCACATATTTCAAGAGAAGTGAAAGCATATGTCCACAGAAGACTTGTAAATGAATATTCAAAGCATCTTTATTCATAATAGTAAAAACTCAAAACAACTCAAATGTCTTATCAACAGGAGAATGGATACAGAAATTGAGGTATATTATTACAATGGAATTCTATCACATAATAGTATACACCAACAGAGATAAATGAATCTGATACATTTTGCAAAAGAAAGTGAACATCAAAGAGTTCATACTTCATGTACTTAAAGTATATACCTTATCATTTCATTTGTATCAATTTATAGAACAAAGCTAATCTACAGTGACAGAAATTAAAACAGTGGTCATCTCTTTGGTAGCTGTGAAAATGGAGTCAGAGGCCACACACCAAAGAATGCTGGCAGCTTCTAGAACTGCAAAAGGCAAGAAAAAGTTCTCCCCTAAGGCCCCCAGAAGGAAGGAATGCAGTCTTGCTGACACCATGATCTTAGCCCAGTGAGACCCAGTGACCTCCAGAATAAGATAATAAATTTTCATTGTTCAAACCACTAAATTTGTGGTAATTTGTTGTAGAAGCAATAGGAAAGTAATGCAGTATTCACTCACATTAAACTTTTTCTAATATCAAAGCATCCCTGCCTTCCTGGAGTAAGTCCAACCTGATCATGAATTAATTTTTCTATACATTGTTGGATTGTATTTGGTAACTGAATCTATATTTATACATGAAGTAGAATAATTACTGACCATTTTCATATTTACCAAAACTCAACAGTTTTGATATCACTAGTTTTCTCAGTTGAAGTATGTATAATATTAGGGTTATCTATGTCTTGAACATTTAAAACTTGTCTATAATACCATCTGGGGGTTATTCTGGGGAGTTGATTTTAAGCTATGAATTAAATTTCTATAGTGATTATACAGCTATTCAGGCTTTCTTCTTCTCCTTAGATTTGTTAGATTTTTCCTAAACCTATTCATTTGACCTAAATTTTCAAATATACTGAATGTGTTTCATAGTGTTCTTTTAAGATTTTAAAATTCTTTTCAAATACGGAATTGTGCCCCCTCTTAAATTTCTAAAGTTGTTTCTCTCTTAATTTTCCTAGAGGTTTTTGAAAATTGATCTTTTTATTTTGAGATAATTGTAGATTCACAAGCAGTTGTGAGAAATAATAGAGCCTGTGTACCCTTGGCCAGTTTCCCCCAGTGGTAACATCTTACAAAACTATTATACAGTATGACAACCAGGATACTGACACAGATACTGACAAGGTACAAAACATTTTCATAGCCACCAGTGGTCCTTAGTTCACTCTTTATAGCCACTCTTAGTTCCAAATCCCCACCTTATATTAAAAATCTTGTCTTTGATCTCCCACAGCCACAAAATGCTAAGCCCCTTTGACACTGAAACTGACAAAGGTCCACAGGTTACCTGTACCATTCATGCCTTCACACAGTTCTGGTTAACTCCCTTTTCATTTGTGGCCCTGAGAATTTCCTTTAGTATCTGCATACTCAGTTACACATTTCAAATATGTTTGTGATAATCTGTTCAGCATTCTGTGGGCTTGGAGGCTAGAGGGTTCTCAGATCATCTGGTTTCCATGTTTCTGGAACCTGAAACCTCTCATGGAATAGTTATTTTATGGGTTCAAGTCCTCTGCTTCTGAGCCAGATTGCCTTGGATTTGAATTTCAGCCCTGGTACCCACCAGCTATGAAACTCCAAGCAAGTGATAAGACCTTTCTGAATTTTAATTTTTATATGAGGTTTAGGAATCATAACCCCAGGTTTTCGTGTCCATTGTAAAGATGACCTCTATTCTAATACAATGCAATTCACACTAAATGAAAGATGATACCATTATTTATTCACCAAATATCAAGTGTTTACTATGTGTGAGGCACACCTTCTAAGTGCTAGGAATAACAGATGATAAACATATAAACAAATAACTTCACAGAAGTTCAAATGCAGTAACAAAAGGGTATAAGGATTGAGAATGTCTAGAGACGGAGCAGGTGCTTTTGATTAGGTCATGGAGGATTCCAATTTCATGATATGACATTGATTTCAAATCCATTGAAGTAAAAAATTAAATTAGTTGTGATGGTTGCAGAACTCTGTGAATATTCTAGAATAGAATATATTAAAATAACTTTTGATGGTGAAATGTATGGTATGTGAGTCATATCTTGATAAAGCTGCTTTGGGTTTTTAAAGTCTGAATGAAGAGAAAGCTTGGGAAAGAACATTCTAGCCAGAGGGAACAGCAGCACAGAGCGCCTGAGGCTTGCAGGGGCTTTAGCCAATTTGAGGAAAAGAAAGATTGGCTGGTAGGTGTTCAGTCGGGGAGTAGTTGGAGGTGGTTGCGATGCAGGCTGTAGATAGAGGCCAGACCATGTAGGGCCTTGCAGGCCAGGTTGAATATTTGGGATTTTATCCTAATTGCAATGGGTAGCCTTTTACTGGAGGAGTGATACCTGGTTGATGCTTTAAAATGATCACTTTCTGTGCTTTCTGTATGGCAAGAGAACATACAGGAGGGCAAACGCATAAGCTGGGAGAACAGCAATGCGGCTGCTCCACAAGTTAGAACAAAGGTCCTAGATATTCCAACTTTAACTTAGACTTCGGTTTCCTCAACCTTTACTTTATTGATCATATACTTTACTCTGAGAACAGAGATGGGACTGAAAAGGCCATTGCAATAGGGACCCATAAGAAGTGGAGAATTCATGCTCTACCATCACTCACAAAGAAAACAGATGATGGAGGAATCGTGAGGACCAAGCCTTTGGTTTACAATGACTTGGATTATTTGTACAGGAAGGTTTTAGGGCTTTTCACTGACCTATACTGGGCCACAAGGAAGAGGGTCAGGAGGTCACCCTTGCTGGGCTGTTTCACCAATCTTTTCCTATCTCAACCACTGCTCAGAACCATTTTGAACCACCTGTCTTTCTTTTAAAAACTGAGTCAAACTTTGGTATCTGGAACCCACATGTAGGCAAATATATGGCAGATGCCAAATCTGTTAAATTCTATAAATCAGGTAGCTATATGTAAATAATGCAGCTATATGTAGATAATTAGAAGCATGGCCTTGGGAAAAAATCAGATTTAATTCCAAGCTCTGCCATTTAATGAGTGACTTAGGGATAGTTCTAAATTTTGTTCAGTAAAACTAGGGACAAGTACCTATGCTTCATTAAGTGTTTAAGTGATTTGGTACCTGTAAATCACTTAGCACAATGTCTAATACATAGTAAGCACTCCAAATTATTAGTTATTGTAATAATTAGTAAATCTGTTACTTTTACAATGGGAAAAATATTTTTTAAAAGAACTTACCTTTAAAAGACATGAACCTGTTAATTACGACATGAAGTTAAAATTACTACAGTCTATGTAATCTAGGAAAAATTTTTTCTTGTAATAATATTAGCTTAAAACAAACTTTAATAATTATAAAACCTTTTCTAAATTTTTCATTTTGGAACTCAGGAAGTATAAATTATAAATACATTGCTTAGCAAACTGTCCCTAATTATGAACTATTATGGAATATTGAGTTGGATATTTTTTATAGTCCCAAAATGAAAATCAAACTCACATGCTCAATATGAGAAGAGTGATACATGCATTGTAACTATATGAAGGAATATTAGATATATTTTTAAAAATTTACCTTTACAGAGAATTTTATGACATTGGAAAATTGAAAAAATTTTACATTGCAAGTGAAAAAACAGGATGTAAAATACCATATTCATTTTTATCTTGAGAGTGTAAGAATATCTAAAAAAAAAGGTGAAATAAAATGTGCCAAAAAATTAATAATAGTTAATTTGGGTGGTGGTAGAAGTAAACATGATTTTTTTTCCTTTCTGTACTTTTTTTATTTTCTAATATACAGAGATTCTTTTATAAGAAAATGATAAGGTTACCATGTTAGGAAAAAATAGCAAGCTGGTATCAAAATGTATTGGACACAATTTGTTAGAAGGTGCTAGTTCTTACATACACACCTGAGAAGATTGTCAGAAGGGAGACTTACCTAGAAACAAGTTACATTACATGGGGTAAAAAGGACAAAAGGTCTCAGGTTATTACCCTATTTACCAAAGTTTGTGATATGTATATTGGATATATGTCAAGAACTCTGTGAGGGCCTTCACCTCCTGCATGCCTAAACATAGCAATGCTTTAAAACTCATAGGCATAATAATTTTTTAAAAAACTGAAAAGTTCACCTAAGTGAACAGAAAAGAGAAAAACAAAGGATTGTAAATATGTCTGCTTGCCTAGGGAATGGTTTCTTACTAATATCTTTAGTGATTGCTGTCTAAAAACAAATACACAAGCATCTTTGTGGTAGGGAGCCCACCTGTTTAGGTTCAGTCAATGCCCCTCGTGGAGCATCAATTAACTGCAATTAACCACCTTGGATTTGTAACACTCTGAAGGGGAGAAATCCTGAATCCGGGAATCAGATCTCCGCACTGTTGTCCTTCATGCAGGCAGCGGACCCCACGTCTTTGGAAAGGGAGGAGGTCTCTGTTTTAAATATCCACTGAAGTTCCATTACTAGCTAGCCTTCCAAAACTCTAAAGGCAGTGGCAGATGAGAATTAAATATACATAATGCAAGCAACTTGCTTCTAAACATTTAGTATGTCACTATCCTTAACAGAACTATTTTGATTGAAATTTTTATGGTTTACAGGATTTAGGATCTAGTATTTATTTCAAAGAGCAACTTATTTTTTTTCAAACTATTATATAAAACCATAGTACATTTAATTGATTTAGTGAAATTTAATTCCTTACTTTAAATTCTGAGGGGGAAAAACCCTCTTTGATGGGAATCTTTGTTAAGATGACTTAAGTAGAGTCTGTAATAATATACTAATGGTCATGACTTGTGTTATTATACACACCCCACCAGTCAAAGCCAATTTCTTTAGGAATACTGGCTATTGCTACTTTGGCTAAAATTTGAGTTTTTTCATTAGAGTAAAATCATGTTTGACACTTCATAAAGCCTAAATGCAAACAAAAAGGATTAATCACATTCATAAGTATGCAAACTTATATTCAAACCATTTTAAAAAGGTATATTACATTTGAGACAAGATTGCAAAACCAGAATTATTTAATTGCCTAGAATTTTATGTAGCAAGTTTTTCTATTCAGTAACATAATAAAATAGGAATATTACATTGGCAGAAGATGACTTAAAGAGCATAAAATATTATTTTCAAGCAGGAAAAAAATGGGATCATTTTCAAGAGCCTCACAAAAAGCTTTTAATTTACAATGCTAATTTTTCATGATTAATAGGATTAACATGGCTTTTCTAGGATAAAGAACAATCATGATACCTGGGTATTACATACATTCAATTTCATATGATAGACACTTGTAAATCTGTACTATCCTAATTACTTAAGCAATTGTTTTCATCTCATTCAATGCTTTGTCTAAATAGCTTTAAGACATATAAAAAAGCAAACAATTATAGGTACTCAAGGATGAAACTTTTTAGTAAGCAATTATTCAAACACATATTTACTCATTAAATGGAACATTAACTGCTTAATATGTAAAACTAGTTTGAAATCATGACTCTTAATTAAATATAAATTCCAATGCCTCTTATGGGACTTCTCAACTTCAAAAATGGCTTAAAAAATTAGTCTGGGGATGACTCACCAATCAGAAACATAGCCAAGACAGAGTTTGATTTCAGAGACTGAATGCAGAAACGAACCAACTCTTTTTATACATTATATTTATAAATTGGTTCTTTGTTCAAGATTTCAAACATTAAGTGATATTAACAATATGCATCTGTACAACATACAATAAAAATGGCATTTGAGGGAAATTACTGCTTAACCTAAAGGAAAGATACCACTCTTAGATCCTGTCTGGGGGTTAAACTGTGGTCTCCTCTTAAGTAGGGTTTTGGGTTTCCTAGCTTTTGGTGATACTTTGGAACATTTTGAGTTTTCCCTATAGATATTTCAGACAAGCTTGGAAATATGAGGACACTTAGTAAAATGAAATTCCCACTTAGATGATAAAATAGATTAATTCTAATATATAAATAGAGCAAATCTGAATCATTTATTAGGCAGGTACTGCATTCTGAACTATCCAACTCAAACTAAACTCTGGCAACCGTTCATTTTCTCATTAGGTAATCGATGTTACTTACAATAAAGGCAATTCTCACAGCCTTTGGCCGTCGGCCTTGTCTTTAAGAAAAAGTTCTAAATCTGTAGGTCCTGCAAAATCGCATGATTTCCTTAGAAGGTGGTTAAGGAAATCTGCAGTCAAGAGGCATACTAAAGAGGGTATGAGTTTGGACCTCTCCCTTCCAATCCACCCACTCAGTGAGCCGAGAAACTGAAGAGGAAGTGGAAAAAATAAATCTGTGAAGTTCAAGGTATAAGATTCTGCAATGTTCCTTGGACTCTTCATTCCTATTTCCAGAATGGGAAAGGATTAAAGGCAATAGAATATTACTTTATTTCTTTAGAGAGAAGTAGATTAAAAAGTATGGATACTTTTTAAACTCTTCACAGTGTTGATCAATGCTTATCAGTATGTGAGACCATCTCATTCATTTGGATATGCAAATTAAATGGGAAAATCCATAAAAACATATTTATCACCAGTAACCCAATCAATAGAGCATAACACAGAAGAAAAGGAATGTTACTTGATACACAAATGTAAATAAAAGCATTTTCATAAGAAAATCTATCACTTTTACAAAGAAGCTTTCCATTAAGCATCATTATTGCCCAACAATTACATTAAAAATACTATTAATAAATGCCTTCACAATTACAGGTAAAGGTCCCTGCATTTTCCTGATTGGGAAATGTCAGTCATCTTTTTTGTCTGAGGTGCTCTCGTCATTTTCAGGGCTGACTTTATTACTGGCGACGGAGGGAGTGGCCTGGACTTCCCTCGGTAGTGAGAACACATGGCATGCCTGAAGGTCCAAGTAGGTTGTAAATAACTTAGCATATTCCGGATGCTTTAGGGCAAAACCTCTAAATTCCTCTAAAAGAGGAGCAAAAACAAAAAATCCAATAAATTGAGGTGAATCTTCTTTTAGTATGATGCAGACTAATACATGACCTTAATAATACAATTATTGCAAAATCCTCTTACTCAGCTCTCGTAAATTATACAGCCACTTTGGAAGACTGTCTTTCCATTTTCTAGTCAAGTGGAAGCTATACATACTCTAGGACCCATTAATTCTATCCCAAGACATATAACCTAGAGAAATATGTGCATATTGTGTTCTGGAAGACATGTATGAGAATGAACACAGCAACACTTCATAATAGGAAACAAATGGAAACAACGCAAAGGTTTGTCAACAGTAGAAATAGAGAAATAAATGGTGGCATATTCATGGAACATAATGCTATATG